TCCGCGCGGGGGGCTGGCCAGCAGGGGGCGCGATGGCTGCCCTGGATCCCGCGGGGTGGACTCAGGTTTGTGCCTCCTCCGTGGCCGCCTGGAAAGCGCGTGGGTTCCTGTGCACCCCAGGTCCTCCCCCTTTCTCTTTCCTTGTCTGGTGCACTCAGGAGGCCCCAGGGCAAAAAACCTTTTTTAAAAATTGGGGTACATAAACATTCAATTAAGAAGAAAATATTGGGCTTATACTTAAGGGAAATTGAGGGAACTTTTGATGCACCTCTGACTTTTCTTAGGTTTCTTGTGCATCTATGGGTTCCTGTGCACCCCAGGTCCTCCCCCTTTCTCTTTCCTTGTCTGGTGCACTCAGGAGGCCCCAGGGCAAAAAACCTTTTTTAAAAATTGGGGTACATAAACATTCAATTAAGAAGAAAATATTGGGCTTATACTTAAGGGAAATTGAGGGAACTTTTGATGCACCTCTGACTTTTCTTAGGTTTCTTGTGCATCTAAATTTGTTGCTATTTGTTTGTTTCCTTGGTTTATGTATTTCACATAGTTGAAATGATTGTGATACTGTCTAAGTTAAAATTTTGTGGACATTGTTACTATTGTTGTAGTAATGCTAATAGGATTTAAGTAGTTACATGTTTTGTCTTTATACAGTTGTAGCAACTCACCTCACCATTTCCTTTGTTGCTGCTTTTTGCAATATTGACAAAGAGTTGAATTTTATGTGTATTTTTAGGTTTCTATTGCTTTGATTTTTTAGGATCTTGAACATTTATCACATATTTACTGGCCAATTGTAATTACATCTTGAGGAATCATCTATTACATATTGTATATAATCAACAATTACCTATTGTTACTTCTGGAGTCCTACTTTTTTTTTTGTGATTTTATGTTTTTTTTTTTTTTTTTCGAGAGCTTTTTGCTATAGGGTGCATGCACTCACCAGAAAAACAGAGAGAGACAGAGAGACAGAAAGTGAGAAATCATCCCCCCAGGGGGATGGCAACACCACAATGCCTTCTCCTCCATTCACCTCTTGGGATCTTGGGGAAATCTGGGGGACACACGCACAAGCCCCCGGCATGACTTTAAGCCACCAGGTCTAGGACTTGAACCACAAGGTCGACTACCTGGAAACCCAGCCACATAGCAATTACACCAACTGCTGGTCCCGATTTTTTTGGTTCTTTATTCAATAAGGTTATTAACATTTTATTGATATTTGATTCAGCATTTTTTTCGGTTTGTGGTTTGTATTTTCATTTAACAAATTATTTTCTATGTTAAGAATATGAACCTATTAATTAGTAAATACTGTAAAATATTCGGTAATGATTTACATCCATCTTAACCTACCATTTTGTAGTACCATAAAACATTGTCTCCAGGTTTCTCCTGTCTCTTAATGTAACTGTACTTACTGAGGGTCTTAGTGTCAGGGACTGCCCTAGGTGTTAAACACATGCTAATGAGTCCTAGACCCTGCCCTGGTCCCAAATGTCAGTCTAGAAAGAGAAGTTATAAAATGACAGTTCTAATAGTAGTGATGCTTGTTTTGCAAAGGAGATGGATTGATCAGTTGAATGTAAATATTAGGAACTTTTTTTGAGAGAGATTTTTGCCTTAGGGCATGTGTGTTCCATGTGTTTTCTCGGCAGAGAGAGACAGACACAGTGAGAGGGAAAGTGATAAATCACC